AGGCGGAGTTCGGCTCAGGTTGGGCGTCATTGCTCTTCGACTTCCCTTTGGACTTTCCTTTGGCAGGAGGACGAACAGGCTGATTCATGCTGACTTCTTGGACCAATATTTCAACCAGTTCTTTGTTGATCTCCAAGGTGAAGCGAAAGGCATTGGGAAGTTCCTGTGCCGTCACCACCCATGTGTGGACGCCAGCCGCACGATACGTCCTCATTGGAATTACTGGCAACTTGAGCGCAGCAAGAGTAGATTGCACTACATTGCTAGCATCCGTGGCCGCAGGCCAACCTGACAACTCCAATGAGACTTTCGGAATGACGTGGAGATTCTCCGGCACCAAACGGTTGTCAGCTGACATCAAGGCTTGCCGGGCTTCTTTGATTTGATCTGCCCACACCCGTACAGCTAACCCCCTGCGGGTTACAATGATGCCCGCAAATCCGGGGGCTCCTTGAACCACTATTCTCATCTTGCGCAACTCCTGAGCTGTCACCATCCAGAAGCGCGGAAGGACAGTTGTATCCTCACTTCCTTTCCCTTTTTCCAGATAGTCCCTCACCAGAAGGTTGGAAGCGCCACTGCATTCCAGGAGTGCTTTGCGAGAGATCGATGGCGCTTTCAGGACACACTGAAGCTGACATTCTTGCTTTGTTGCGCCTGGGTGGTGCGCAATGCGATACCCATAAAGGGTAATGGCTGCACTGAGTTTCGGAATGGCCTCATTGACAGCTTGCTTGAACATGGCAATAGGCGACTCCTTGATCTTGTCAATGTCGCTCTTGGATGTGAGGCGTGAGTCAAATTCCAAAACAACCTCTGCAACAGCTGGTGTCGTCATTTTGTATGTAGCCTCTGGTAACTGGAATCTGACCTTTCCAGCGAAAACAAGCATGTGCACGAGGCGCTTGTATGAGATCTTTGCGGTGTTGTCATGGAGGGAGACTTCATAAGGCCCTTCCATCCGGTTGGCAAGATGTGCCAGACTGGGTGAGTCTGATGCCGGGATCAGCACACATAGGTGAGGAGCAGCTTGGATCTTCGAAATCTCCGGCAAATGCGATTTGGTTGCCAATACAACCCCACCACGGCTTGGAGCCAATTGCAATCGGTGTGTTTGGCTCAAATGCTTGTCATGTTCGTCAACGAAAGGAACAGGTTCCTTGATCACGAGGTCCTCCCACTTGGATTGCGACGGTCGTGGTGGTCGCTTGGACCAAGGATCATTGCGCAGCCACGGATCATTGGGTGTCTTGCTGCTAGCACCTAGACCACCACTCCCTGGAGGCACCTCCGGGGCTTTGGATTTGCTCTTGGTTGAAGCATCTTGAGAAGCCATGTCAACATCATCAGCAGCACCACCAGCAATGTATTGGTCAGGGAATCGTCGCTCCAGAACTCGGATCAGGAACCAGTCACGGACATTTGCAGCAAAATCGATGAGTTCTTCCTCTGCACCTGAGTTGTGCCACACCAGGCGGGCTTCGTTTCTGATTTCCTCAAGCTCCTCTCCAAGCTGGTGCCGCCAAATTGTTTGGAGCTGTGGATCACGAAGCGGGGCAAAATCCAAAGAGACCCTGTGGAAAAGCTGATGCAGCATATGATACCCACACAGCCCATGTGGAGTGTCTTGGTGAATGGTCTCAACGGTGACAGTCTCAGGTTCAACTCGTGCAATACCAATGATGTAATTGATCAGTGGCAGGAGTGTCTGCTGGATGGTGTTGGGCACTGTGAAGTAGAACCTTGCATTCTCCGGGGCAAGATACAGTTCAATCTGCACCCAATGATTCATCGTCACCACTATCCAGAAAATATGGCTGTAGGACGAAATGTCCGGCACATAATCATTGAGGTACATGAACTCAGATCGCGTGGGAAGCCAGACCGCCGGTGGGCAAAAGAGAGTCTCTGGATGATGCGACCTCAACAGGTCCATTGTGTAATCAACTTCGTCTGTAGCAGCCCAGCCCGGATATTGCTGGAAATGATGTAGCCTTGCCAGGATCTCAGTAATAGCACTTGGTGGCTCTTGTGGTTGCTCACGAATGACTGGCTGTGGTGTTGGAATAGCGACTGTCAGCCGTGGCTGGATCACTGGCTGGCCGATGGCCTCACGCCGAGCACGATGCCACAGAAAATTACGTCTGAGCTGTAGTGCAACCTGAGCAACATCCTGTGGCATATTACACCTGCGCCAATCTTCAATAGAACATTGAATACACGTGTCAATGATCTCCAACACATGCCGCGGCAGTGGGGACTGATTGACCTGGTTGGCCAAGTTGTTCTGCATGTTGAAATGGGCAATCCAGCGATACAATAAGAACCAGCCACATAAGTGAGGTGGAGCAACATCACCTTCATGAGCAACTTCAAAGCGATGTGGAGCAATGTCCAAGAGTCGAGCAACCATGTGAGTCAGCTTGGTGCGAACACTCTGTGGGACCTGAACAAAAACAACACGTGTACCATGTTCCCCACGATGAATCTCAACTGCGCTCCAGTGATTCGTGATGAGAATAGGAACGACTGTGGTGCATCCGTTGAAAATATGGATTTCACCAGACTCAGGAAACTCGAAGTCATCTTGATGCGGGTCCCAGAATACAGGTGGGGTAAACTTGTAGAACATCTGGTGCCACTGGATCTCCTGTGTGTACATTGCCATTTCATCACTAGCAATCCAGCCCTGTGTGTTGCACATGAACTCTGCTCTGTCAACAAATGGAGCACTGGCAGGCAAAGATGGCCGAGGGCCTGGGGCCTCGCGATGTCCTCCTGCACGGATGAGCTCTTCACTTCCAACATTCAGCACATCATTTGCATGGAGCCGAATGCATGGCTGCTGAGGTGGTGTGCCATTGATAGCTGTGATGGCAAGCCTCTTCTTTTTCCACTCAAACGTGGTGCATGTGGAGATAGTCGATGGAAGATGGAGCAAACAGAATTTGTCATCAGCTTGCAGATAGACAGCGACTTGTACTTGTCCATCGATTGACTCATCAACCCCACACACAAGGTGTGTGAGGGGTGCGTGCTCATTTGGCATGTCGATAACTTGACCATTCCAGGCATAGGTAATCTCATCAGAAATCGACTTGATTTCGCTTCCTTTGCCACAGACCTGGAAATCACGTTGGCCCACCGAGTGCAGAAAGACCACTCGTTGAGAAGTGCCATAGCCCGGTGTTAGTCGATCACAGCAGGAGAGTACTTTCTGAAACCACGACTGCTTGCATGTATCCTCGAAGGACAGCTCGTCAGCAATTTGGTAGACCTTGTCGATGGGAATGTCATCATCATCAGGAACATCGATGACCTCAGTTTTCGGCGCGAGGGCTATCGAACATGACCCCACAGGGGTTCCAGCTACGACGAATTCCCAACAAGTGTCAGGATCTGCGAGTTGGCCAATGCACGAATGCTTGTTAGGATTATTGTCTTGTGCTCGAAAGGCAATCACATCAATGAGTCCTTTAGGGCCTGCAAAAAGCATGTGAAGAGATTGACCACACGATGCATCATGCGGGAGATAGGCCCTGATCTGATGATGGCCAAAGGACCCTTGGAGCAGGACGCGGCATGAATCATGGACTTCCGGCACAACTTTGATGGAAACCCACTGTGCCACATGGTCGACATGAACCAAGTGCACGAAAGCATCATGGTGGAAAAGAACTGCATTCCGAGCACATAAACGTGCATGCCATGCCTGTCGAACAGCCTTTAGGGGATCAACGCTGGTTTGGCCAACTGTGTGCATTGCAATCGAAAGCGCCAACAGGCCATGAGGCACAGAAATCGCATTGCCAATGCCTCGAAAGGCAGACTGCACCTTAGTAGGAAACGTTCTGTCCTCTGTGACTCCCAGAAGCCCACAAAACCTGGCAGGATCGAAAAATTCGAAACCACGGCTGGTGTGATTCAGGAATGCGAACAATCCACGGTCTTGCACATGAACCTTGGCAAGGGTATGCTGCGACGAATACGAAGCACAGAGCGTTGGGAGGGGTTCATGTCCATTGGGGACCCTCGCCCACAATGTGTGAAGCGCACCAGACCTATCCCCATCTGATCGCTTGCGCTTGGACCCTGGAAAGAGTCTGGGATCATTGTAGATGGCTCTTTCGGACTCTGAGAGGACAAGCTGATTGACCCAAACATCAGGAATCCGAAAATGATACACAGGGTCATCCCATGGTGTCTTGGGAGAGGCTTTGAGAGCAAATGTGAATCCAATGGGTTGGGCCTGAACATCCGCTCTAGCCCACGTGCACAACCACCGAGACCGAGCATGATCAGCGAGAGCCTGATACGGTGTGACCTGCGTCCACGTTCGCCGAAATCCAAGCGAATGGATGAGAGCCTCAAGGATCTTAAAATGAGGGTGCTCAGTGATTTCATCACTGCACTCCATTGCAACAGTGATCGGCTGGACGATGGTGATCATTTTGATGGCATCAATGAATGCCCATCCATTGCTGTCTTGCAGTCCTAAACGTCGTCCAGCCTTCGACCAGCTTTGGCATGGAGGCGAAACAGTGCAGCAAAGATTCGTCTGAATACGACACGCGTTTGCCAGCGACCAGTCCCCAACAGAGGTGAGGATACCAATCTTTGCAGCAGGCGACCATTTTGTATTGTGAGCCAGTGGTCCTCGAAAATGTCGACTGCCAGCTTGGGCACTCCAAATTTGCATCACTGTTTCATCATTGTCGACAAATACTTCTTGCCCCAATGAAAAACCTTGGTCAGCTCTTTGCAGAAAGGAGGCCGCTTGGCTCCATCCTCCGAATGAGCCACTGAACAGGTGGAGAAAATTCCACGGCATCGCATCACTGTTCTCCGGCCTGAAGGTGACCGCCACATGGGAATCAAACTCATAAACCATGTCATTCCAGGAAAGCGGCTTTCCAGCACACATATACAGTATACATAATATATCTATATATATATATATCATTTTTTTCTATCTCCTTTTTCATCTGTTGCAAACTGAGGACTCTGTACCTTGCCCTATCTGTGGTCTTCTCTTTCCGGGCTCCAGCATTGAGACCCACGTGGACGGATGCCTCAGCGCCGCGCCCGTGGCACCCACGGCACCCGCGGCGCCCAGCGTGGCGCCGTCTGAACGCGCGGAGACCAAGGCATCTCGCTGGGCACGGCAGACGAAGGCGGCGCCGGCGGTGGCTGCCGGTTGGGAGGAAGAGCCCATGGTGAAGGAAGGGGCGAAGTTGGAGACTGCGCAGGTCAGGGTGGAGTGGGTGGGGATGGAGTGGAGGGGTTGGAGGGTGGAGTGGATGGAGGTATATATATCTCATGGAACGCGTGGAAGATTCAGGGAGGTGGACGGTCCTGAGACAAAAAGCGTTTGTGAGAAATCCATTGCCAAAAAGGCTGGACGCAGCCGGAACCTGTCGGGAGGAGCGCATCAGCCGCATGAAGAGAGAGGCGAAGGCCCGGTTGAGACGCGTGTCGGTGACGTCTCCAGTGAGAAGAGGTGGCAGACTGTAGAACTTCATTCCACGTATCACATGGGCTTGCCACACTTGTTTAGAAGAGAAAAAATTCCCCGAGGCCTTCATTTCATCCGTTCAACAGCCCCAGATGACAGCCAAGTCATATAACTAGCTAAGAGTCAACAAAAACGGATCTCAAACCCTTTGCTTCAAGGTGCCTTTGCATTTGTTTCGACGTTCACCTTTCAAACCAACACCCCGCTGCCGCCAAGAGAAAGACTCGCAAAAGAACGACCGTTTTGGCCTAGGAGCGCAAAGCCGGGAGTTCCCGCATGGTGACGTGATGGGAGAAAGCGGTCAACGTCCGGAGGTTTCGAAGGTGACAAACTCTGTTCTGCCAGTGGCTGGCCCCTGGAAACAAACAGCTCACAGTGGTTGGCTGTGGCTTGTCGGAAACGGACGGAAAAGGAGGAGTTGGGACACAGTTAAAGCTTGAGTGTTGATCTTCGTTTGGAGAAGTGACATAATTTTGGTTTGTTTGCTTGTTTGTTGATGTGTTTGCTTGTTGGAATCCGTTCATCGGTCGATTCCTCCACATGCTGTCTTATGGAGCACCTCGCACGCTTGATTTGAAGACGCGTGAAGAACGATGAAAGGGTCCTCATGAAAACAGCATCAAGTAGGTAAAGAGAACGATTCCTCTTGGAAAAAAGCGGACCTGGGACACATGTTTGCGTTTTCCGAAAGCTTTCTGCTCCACAAGAAAAGCAACCACGAACAAAAAAGAGCCACAAAAGAGAAATAAAAAGAAGACGAACCAACTGAACTGATCTTTGTTCTCTTGCGATGCTAGTTTCCTTCGCTGTTTTGTTTTTTTCAATTTGTCCTCAAAACATGCCCTGCAAAAAGAGAGCTCCTCTGATTCCTCTCCCCAAAAAGACCGGCTCCCCTCCGGCCGGACGCTCCGAGGATGTGAGACTCGACACGTGGGCGACCCGTCACGCGTGATCCGACCCAACGACGTCGTTGGAGACCAAGAAAAGGAATCAAGTGTGGGCAGTTTCGGCTTGGACCTTTCGAGTGTGGAGCGCATAGACATGCTTCAAAGTTTGCAAGTGCTGAACTCACGGACAAAGTAGAGGATTGGATCCTTCGGAGACCTGGCTGGCAGAAGCAGCTAGCAGCTAGCAGGCTAGCAGCTCGTAGTCACTGCGCTCCTGCTTTTGCACTTCCTGGAATGCGAATGGTATTGAAGCTGGAGCATTTGCCACTTGAACGATTGGGGGTTCCCATGGTCTACACTCTGACATACTAGGATGACCAGACCCCCAATAGTCAGAGCAGAAGCGGGGTTTTGGAGACTTTTGAACCCAAGTCTATCGTTGAGGACAGCAGGTCGACGATGTCCACTCCACTGAGCTGTTAGGCTCCAAAGCCATTCGGATATATCCAAATTCTGCAAAGAGGGGCATGGCAGTCAGGTTGACCACAGACTCTCTCAGGAGGCTGAACAGAAGTCTCTTGAAGCAGAAACCCTTTTAATGCAGCCTCGCTTTGGTCAGCCCTTCACAAGACTAATGGCTTTCAGAATTCAGAGGGAACCATTCGCAGGGCAGAAAAGGAAGGTTCTTTTCCAGAACCACATGAACAGAACCACCAAGGAGAAACTTACATGGAACCGTAGATTCATTTCCTTCAGCTTTTCCTTCCCACACATCACACGTGTGTGCATCCCTGGATGTCGATGCTATGGTGGATGTTCAGCGCCGCGCGTTTGGCGCTGGCGGCCCCCACAACACCTGCGCCCTGCACGTGGGACGCGGCCGAGCCTTGCTATCTCCAGATTGGGGGCGTGACCTGGCCCCCGTCATGGATGGCTGGGAGAACATGGGAGAAACAGGGCTTTGAAGATCCACCCTCCCAAACGATTGACTTCATCAGCCCGGGGGCCTCCAGCCAAGGGCGCCTCGCAGAGCCGCGAGCCGAACCGCCCGCCGAGCAGTCAGACTGCTCGTTGACGCTGCTCCACTTCTTGGGTGCTCATCACACCTTGAAAGACCCACAGACCGGGAGGGGAATACTGGAAGTGGGTGACTTGAGCCTTCAACGATCTTCTCAGGGTATGTGGATTCCTTTTCCAAGCTCTGATTGAGGTCTACGAGTTCATGAATCGGGCCGCGCTGACCGATGAAAGCGCGTTTCGCACGATGAACGATTGCCACGGATACCTGGTCCAGCCCTATATCGATGCAGTGAACAGTCTCAACGGTGGCAGAGGCTTCATGGTACATAGCAATGGCCTTGAGATTGCTCAATCGAGGCCAGATTGCACAACACAAGAAGGGCTCTTCAATTCTTGAGGAAGGCTAGCCTAGTGTGTTTGGTCCGACATGAGCAGGCAATCAAGCAAACTGCCCAGGCCGGCAGTCCCCACCTTTGGGCACTTGCATGGAGATGGGGACGTTTTCTTTGAGACCTCGGCAAAAAATCTCCAATTCTCATCAATGCTCAGGGGGCAAACAAGGTCGAAGTGTAATGAGATTCTGTAGATTCTAATTCTATATATTTCTTGTTTCTAATAGCTTCTTGTTCCTAGTAGTAAGGCCAGGAGCCCCTAGTAGCGTCCTTGCTCCTAGTAGCGATGCCAGGAGCCCCTAGTAGCGTCTTTGTTCCTAGTAGCGTCAAGTCGTAGGGCATTCAGACCACCCAAGTCACCTCGCTGGCGAGGCCATATCAGAGGTACTACTACCGCCTCAACTACACCCGAGTCATCTTTGAGAACTGGACCCAGGGCCAGGTCTCTCACCCGTCGAAGCAGAAGTCGATTTGGGGACCGATCATGTTTGACAGATTGGAGTCTAGATCAATGGAGAATTCCCCAATTTCCGGAGTGGTATGTGTTTGAGGGAAGATGTTCAGGATGTCCCAGGTGTTGCAGTGTGTTGTATTTTTGCATGTTTTTGCATATATAGGTGTATCAAAGGAATGATAATATACAACAGAACTCCGGGGTCTGGTTTTTGAGTAGAATTGAAGGTCTCAGAGATTGCGGGCACTTCCCTCCCAAAACTTGACAGAAACTGGCAGACTGGGTCATTTGCAAAAATAACATTCTGGCAGTAGTTTCTATGCTTGTTAAGAGAAGGGGGTAGACAATCTTCATCATTCTTTTGCGCAAAAGTGGTACAACAAAAACTTTGGCCTTTCGAGGCAGACGCTGCAGCCGAATGTTTTCTGGGATTAAGATACGGTTGATGGGCCTAGCGTTGCTCTTTGTTTGGTTTGCTTGCCTTGCAAGCACCAGGTTTACGTAGATGAGATTGGTAGTAGGCGATCCTTCTGGTTTGGTACAAGGTTCTTTGTCGCATACCTTGGAGCAAATTGTGGAATGTGGGTGTTGGCAACATCATGTAAGCCCTACATAAACTACTAGTTGTGTGAGAAGCAAAGCTGGTGCTTCTTCTTAAAGAGCATACTGTATAGTTCACCCTTTCAGGGACATCAGCTTCCAAGCCTTTTTCTGTGCTGCTATCTTCTTGTGGCGTAGAACAAACATGAAAAATGGAAGAACATCTGCAACGACTGCAGCGATGAGGAAGTTGTCCTTGTCTTGCCTTCGTTGTGATGGGGATGGACATAGGATGCCCCGGTTCTTCTGCGTGAGGAAACTTGATCCATTCTGACCTTTTTTGCTCGGACGACCATGTTTCTTTCCGATTGAGGCTTTGTCTCTGCAGCTCTTTCCTCACTGGTCCCTTGTCCTTGGCATGGGCTCTGGCTGCAGCGACAGCCTCATCATGGAGCAAGCGCTTCTGGCCAACATCACCGACACTTGGGCACCACGGGAGGTGTTTTGAGCCCCTGTTCATTTGCGGACCTGGTCATTGAACAGAATGGGGTTCAATCAAAGTCCCCAGCTCAAAATCTTCGCCACTGCAAGGTTCCCCGACGTTTCTTGCAGCCTGAAGCGAGAGAGAGAGAGAGATAGAGACGAGGTGAAACCTTGCCATAAATTGAGGGAAGCGTTCAAAGCCAAATGAGCAGGCGGTCTACTGGATGCAGGGGAAGACCTCTCTGTCAGGATCATTTCAAGTGGACATTGTTTGATCGATACCTGAAAAGAAACAGTCTGACCATGTGCAACCCAATTTCTTTGGAAGATGCTCCGTCTTGTCTTGTAACTTGTGAGGCAGACCTTTGCAGATGTTCGGCTCCTGCGCAGACCCACCAGAGTACCACACCCACCCCATGGACCAGACAGTTTTATCGGTTGGGTCATGGGGGTTTCCAGATTTTCTCGGAGTTTTCCAGGGTTCCATGCAAGGGTCCACTCCTCAAGCAGTGTATCACTAACCAGTCTGTACAATGGGAGGAAGCACAACTCCAAACCCTTTAACGGTTAAATATTGAGGTTGCTTGTTTGAGAGGCAGGCACGAAGAGAGGTCATGGTCCAGGTGTTCCTTTCACGAATGGCACACCGCAGTTCTGGGACATCCCAAGAGCCTCATGTGAAGGGTGGGAACTTGGCCTGGCCATTCTCATTCATGAAAAGCTGTGTTGTTTGCAACAGCCGGCAGTGTACTGGCAGGTCTTCACATTCTCACAGTTCATAGATAGTCTCAGCTCTGCCCAGTGGCGCTCTGGTGCCCCAAAACGCGCTCTAACGTGTGAATGGGTGATTCTGAGGAGAGGCTTTGGATGACCATACGGGGGCCTTGGAGCCAGATGTCGAGGGCCTCAGGCGCGACCAGGATGGGCCTGGGTGTCGGTGCTGTTGCATAGGCAAAAAGCAATGACGCGTCGGCCCCGGACAAGAAGCAGCTGGAATACTCCACGATATTTAGCTCTTAAAAGTTTTGTTGAGGAGCTTTGAGCATTTTGTGGTCAGAAGGGCTTATGCCAAATCCCTGGCCTTTCAACAGCACCCCTAAATACACTCGAAGAAATACCGCTTTTTGGCATGATGACAGGTCTGTCAAAGCCACCCGAACACGACCCAACAGAGCTTCATATGAGATCTTCGACAACCGTGGGTACAAACAACATACTTCGCACCCCTCAAAAGAACGGGTTTCCTTACTTTGCAGATGTTTTTCATTCTTCCCAGATAGCGGGAGCGATTGGGGTACTTACTTCAAGTACAGGTGACTGTGCGCGCTTTTGGAGGCTGGGTGCTGGTGCCACTGCAGGGTACCACTGCCAGATGTGTGGCCGTGTGTGCTTTGGAGCTTGGGTGTTGATTCCGCTGCAGAGGGCCGCTGCAGGGTGCTGGTGCAGCCAGTGTGCCAGCCTGGTGCCACTGCAGGGTACCACTGCCAGATGTGTGGCCGTGTGTGCTTTGGAGCTTGCGTGCTGGTGCCAATGCAAGGTGCCGCTGCGAGGTGCTGCTGCAGGTCTACGGCAGTTCAATGGCAGTGCGCGATTTGGAGTGTGGGTCCAGGTGTCATGCTGCCCACAAAGACTTTTTGCTATCTCACACCCTGACTTTCATGTCGCACCGAGAATGCCTCGCACCAGGCGGACCCTTACGCTGGGCCTTCAGTGCCCACTTGAACTCTCGCGACTATCCTAAAGGCACTATACAGCAATGGGCCCTCAATGGTGCTAAGACCGCTGCTATCTTCTACTGGTGCTGCTCCAACGACTTTTTCAAAGGACTGGGTCTCTGGCTGCCTTTGGCTTTGTAGAACGAGGGCTCCAAACTATTCAGCTCAATGAAACCCAGTGAAGTTCGTCTTGAAGACTGTGTGCGTCGAGAAAACGCTTTACACTCCCGAAAACTATTCTAGACCTCTAGACCTGGGTCGAGTAGCACCCTGAAAGAGTGTTTTCCTCTAGCTGCACCAGTGGTTTTCAAAAGTTTTCAGGGTCCCTTAGTCTTCCATGGGGCATTGCCGCAGCGGGCAGGAGTTGGAGAGGGGGCTTTCCAGCCCTTGGAGGAGAATGGCGTCAGCGTCCAGGCCTGGGGTGCGAGTCTTCTCGATAAGTGTAAATTGTTGTTTTAATACATAATTTTTCTTTCTTGGGCAAAAAGGGGTCATTTTCTTTGACCGAAAATGTATAAAGTAAGCTTTTACATTTTTTGTTTTGTTGGAGGTTTGGTTCCTGCATCAGGTCATGCGAAAACGAAAACGACAGCAGTAGATCGTCACCAGATTAAACACGTCGCTTTGTTTCCTGTTCCTCCACCCGTTTTCTTGCACCCTCCAACGGTGTCTGCAGTTTTTCCTCGCCTCACGCACGATCAATCACGACAAGCGCTGTCTGTCGCGCCTCACATGATGACGGAAAGCGATGAACATCGCTTTGAGTTGCTCCCGGTAGGTTTTGCCGGGGGGTTCGGGGGGGGGGTGAAAATCTCGAGGTCGTGATTTGCAGACTTTTTGGAGGCTTGAGGCAGTATGTTGAAGTCAACGAAACACTGTAAAATACAGCAAAAAAAAGATTTTGTTGCATCATTAATGCAATGTTTTTTGACAAAGCACGTCAGCACTTTTCACAAGGGCATCGGATACACAAATGATTCATGATAGACAAAATGCTAAAAAAGTCGGAGGCATTCCACAGCACCACTTGCATCACTACGAGGTGCATGGGAGGCACAAAGAGAGACGGAAACAAAGCAAATCAACTTAAGATGAGAATTTTTTGACA